CCCCAAAACCCCAAAACCCCAAAACCCCAAAACCCCAAAACCCCAAAACCCCAAGGCAGGTTGCCAATGAAGATAATATTAGATGTTAATATTAAGAAAATTAATTAAATCCTAAAGAGAAGCTTAGTTTCTAGCTCTCTTGCTCCTAGAGGAAGTTGTTTTAACAGCTCTCTTCCTTTTGTTTGCTTGCTTCTTGAGCTTTGCCTGCCTCTTTGGAGCCTTTCCTAATTTTTTACTAATTTGATCCCAGTGCCATTTATAGACCTGAGAAGGTTCAAGCTTTAGCTTTTTAGAGAGTTTGTTCATGAATTCTTTAGACCAATCATCGGTCTTAGAGAATTCTTCCTCGAGTTGTCTAATTTGTTCCTTGGTCTTTCTCTTTTTGACCTTGATGAGCTCAACTGGCTCGAGGCAGAACTCATCATTGCTCTTGATATCTAGAGCATCACAGATGACTCCGTTGACTCCTTTTGAGTCAATTTCACCTCTGATTTTGCAGATAAAATCGTTCATATCGAGAATATCTCCATCAAAATTTACTTGCAAGTATGTTTGCTGAGTAGAATGAGAACTGAAGGCTCAGTCATCTGATGGGAAGGATTGCTCCTTGGTAGGGGAAAGATTTGCCTCTTCAAATTCATCACAGACAAATTTTCCATTCAAAAGAGTGAAGTCTTCATCATCATTATTAGCAGCGTCATAATTGTCAACACTGTATTCAAACTGAGACTTGGCTTCCTTCTCCTCAAACTGGTTGTTTCCAAAAACTCCTAATGAAGTGTGGTTCATGAATTTAGAGTAGTCAATTTGGTTTTCTAATTCAAACATGTATTTTATTTTACTTACTTTCATTCTGTTTACTTGCTATATATACTTCAAAATTTTTCATGTGCAGCTGCCCAAGAAATTCCCAATTTTTACCTCAAAACTGTAATGTAAATCAAGACGAGAAAAAGATTATTTTACATGAAAATACTTAATTTGGCCATTTCAGTTGAGAGAGAGCATAGAGGGGTTTTGGGGTTTTGGGGTTTTGGGGTTTTGGGGTTTTGGGGTTTTGGGGTTTTGGGG